TCTTTATTCATTTAGGACTTAACTTGAAAGTTCAGTTACTATTTAAATTGCAGTCACTTGATAGTCAAGAACTGTTAATTAATGTTTTTTATTGTGAAATAGAATGTGAAAATATATGGAAATTAAACAGTTATTAATTTTCAATAGATATATGTGTGTATATAATTTAAAATTTACTTACATGAACTGTCATGATGTCAATAAAAGCTAAGGTGCTGTTTTATGTATGGTTCCGCATAGAGAAAGTGTATTTAATTCAAGTTTTGAAATGCAGATTTTTATACTGCTTGGGATGTCATTGCCGAGCATGTGCAAAGCTACTCCAAGGACCCCAGTCTTGCTTATAGGTAAGCTAAACAAATTGTTTTTCTTTTATAGAAGAAAGATAATGTTGAAAAAGAAAGAGAAAACAAATAGAAGAGGATAAGGAATCTCCAACAAAAAGAAAGCAAAACGGAAAAAAAAAATCAAAACAAAACAAAAGGAAAAATGAAAGGGGGGAAGGGGGAGAGTGGGGGAGGGGGAGTTTAATGTAAAAAGCCTCCATTACCTTGGCATAATAGATAAAAACAAACCCCTAAAAAAGACCTGTGCCGTCACCCACAAAGAGGGATTATGAATGATTTGGAAATAGCTTTCATACTATCAGCAACTAAATTGAACATTTTAGTTTTACGCTTTAGCCATAAATCCCAACAACCACTAAAGAGTATTGTTGTCAAAGCATTTTTCACCCAAGCCCTCAAATTGTTTTCTCTGGAGTGGGTGGCAAACCCAACTCTCCCCAAAGAGGGCAAACAACTTACACCAAATCTGAAAAGCCACCTCATAATACAATAAAAAATGACTGTTAGTCTCCAAACACCTAGAGCGAATCAAACAACTATAGATAAGGACATCTTTGTATCTGCTAATAGTTACTGGTCAATTAATTACAAAATGTATTTTTCCAGTGTAAAATGAAAATTTGGGTGGCTTTTTCTACTCCAAGCAATTGTATTGATACTTGACATATAGAAAAAGGAATATTATTAGAAAAGAGGAGAGGAGAAAGTACAATGAAGGATAGGAGATCTCCCAATATAAAAAGAAAAAGAGAAAAAAAAAATACGAACAATGTATTCTTCTCTTGGTGAATTAACTGAAGAGAGACACCTAAATGAAAAATGAGCCTTAGTCCAAAGTGACGCCTAGAAAGCCATCCTACTCCTAAGCAAAGAAGAATTTGGGAATGGTCTTTAAAGAGTCTGCAATTTCTCTCCAGCTACAATCCCCAAAATTTAGTGGAAATAGCCCATGACCAAAACATTCTACTTTTCTTGCTCTTAACAGAGAGAGTGAAATTAAACAATCGAGAGATTGTTTTCTCTCTTTTTTCTTTGGGGTGGGTGGGAGGAGAAGGGGGCATTTTACACCAGAGAGAAAGGCCTAGCCCGAAGCCTCTCACTTTGCAACATCATCCGATAGATTATATGCCCCATTTTGAGCATGAAAAACATGATGGAAGTTTCTTGAAACCATTTTGCCTAGTTTGTAATAACACCAAGGACACTTGAGCATCTGCAATCTGCACATTAAATCCAGCTAGGTAATTGCCATTGTCTTCATGGAACATGAACATCATTAGTAATCCTAGACATTCTTTTATGATTAATTTTGGAAGATATCACCCTGAGCATTCAGCCCTTTATATTCTGAAGTAATTTCTTGGCTCTCTATGCAATAATTTATTTTCCCTTTAATTTTGTCTTTGATTGCTGACAGTGTATACTGTTATTTCTTCTATGTATGGTACATGACAGAATTATGTATAATTTTCTGAAAATATTTCAATTACAAAGTCTGCTACTCTTTCATATTGACAGTGTATGCCTTCTTCTGAGATGGGGTGCTTTGGATGCTGAAGCCTATATAGAATCTTCGAGGAGTGTTTTGAAAATTTTGTGGGAAGTTGGCAGCTCTAGTCACCTGGCTAATAATTTACTGTGGCTAAGGGCAAGGATTTCTGCAATTGAGGCCTTAACCCAATATGAGGTAACTTTTATGAATTGTTGGAAAGCATGTCTTTTAGCTGCTCACCAACTTTCTTAAATTTTCTACACTTTTGGTATAGCTTTGTGACTACTTCCTCTAAAACCTATGAGTTTTCTCCCTAGGTATCGTGTGTCGAAAGAAATATTTCAGAATTCAAAATAAGAAGTGCGGAATTGCTCTTTTCTGAGACCAACCCAGATATGCTGAGGGCACTTGAAAGACTTATTTCCAAGATTGTAATGCATGAACACATGTAAAGAATTCACCACTCATGCATCCCCTTGTTCATATGCTTGACAAAGTTTAATGCTGATGATCGTTTTTCAATTTGCTTCAGTTCTCGGCGAAGATTTGTGAAGGAGAAAAAAGTCCCAGGAAGTAAGATTGAGAAGTTGCTGGATGTATTTCCTCAGATCTTCTCTTCAGGTATCATGGGATTGAGGTCCATAATTTTCTATTATTAGTTTGTTAATAAATAAACCTCCAGTAGAAGAGGAAAAAGAAACTCTACTTAGATGTATGCTGTTACTCTCTTCACCTTCATGGCCTTATGAAAACTTTATTTGACTACAAGAATTTAATATTACTTAAATCAGCTCTACAGTGCAAAAAAATTAGAAGTTGTCCAATTGGATTTGCAACTAAATGAAGGGTATATAGCAATAAAGATTCAAGGTAGTGAACTTCTTGATACTAAGTACAAAATAAAAAATGAAATGCAACTTTACAATAAAAACTTAGCGAAGGAAGGTTGATAATCCTTGTCAATGCCAGTTAAGAATGTTGCTTGCTTTTGTGAAAATTACTTCTCTCTCCTATTATGCTAGCATAAAAGCTGAGCATTTAATTTGCAGGAAAAAGGAGAGATGCTGGGAAGCTACCTGGTGCTGCATTATTGTGTCTTTCATTTACTCCTAGATATTTGAACAACCAGCCAACAAAAACAGTAAGATAATCATTCATAATTATAAGAGTCCTTTTCTTTTGAGTATCTTTCATCTCCTTCTACATTTTCCAGGGATCACAAGGTGTGCATGCTGAATATGTGAATGCACTAGTGGAAATATCTGCATCTCTTCAGCTTTCGAGAAATATTTTTGTTGCACTTTTCTCACTGCAATCATGGAAACCATTCATGCGACATTGGATGGGTGCTAGCATCTCTAGTCATGTAAAATCTCCATCTGTTGCCTCTGATAAAGTTTCAAAAGCTGCTAATGATATTCTGAAGGTGAAAGATGGCCTTCATGCTTTGGCAATCTTGCTTTCCTCTTTGGTTTTGCAAAAATTTGTTTGTTAAAAATCTGGTGCTATATTTCTCTATTTTTGTCATGCAGAGTATGATACAGATCTCGGAAGAATCTATCCCTAGATCTGCTGAAAATATTGGACTGGCAGTTGGTGCACTTTGTGCGGTAAAATTCCTGTGTAATAATATCGTAGACTCAATAATTTAACTGCTTGGTAGATCTTGCCTTGGCTGTTGAAGACACATAACTACAAACATCAGTTCTTTATGGATTTCTGCTAAATCATTGTTTTTGATTTTTTTTGGTATTGTTAGATCTTGCCAGCGTCTGTCCATAATGTTAAATCAACTGCTTCAAAGTTTCTGCTGAGTTGGTTGTATAACTATGAACATGAACACTGCCAATGGTCTGCTGCCATATCTCTTGGAATGATCTCAAGTTCCTTACATGTGACTGATTACAAGCAAAAATTTCAGAATATCTCTGGGCTTCTTGAGGTACACAAGTGACACTATGACTATTGGACTTTCTTTTTCTTTTTGAGTTGGATCAGTCCAAAGTAGCAAGTATGCAGGGTAACAAATATAGAGTGAAAAAATATATTGTTTTGTGTCTTGGGTTTAGGCCGTCTAATAATGAGGAATATAAATCTCTGGGACATAGTGGAGGGTTAAAACCTGTCTCATTTGTTTCCCAAAGGAACTACGTGCAAAATGAATTATCTGGAATACAATGAAATATTATTAGATTGTTTTTCAAGATTCATTGTTCTTCCTCCTATTTCGTTCAACCTGATGCCTGCTTAAGGTTGAGCATGTTCTTCTTACAACTAATCCTGCAATTTTCTTTACAGAATTTCTTTCTTGATAAAGGCTTTTTATTAAGATTATTTAGCCCTTGTAGTTTAGATTTTACATCCTAATGCTCCAAAGTTGAAGTTAGATTGCTGTTCCTATTATTCCTTTACTCCCCTTCCTTATAAGCCTTGGAGCTGTATTTTGATGCTTGTATGAACATGTAACTTATACATATTTAGTTCAACTGCATTTGTCACTTTTTCTTTGCTCCTTTTATTTGAATGGTGCGTATTGAACTGATGGTAAATGCCGTCAGGTTTTGTGTAACAGCAAAAGCATTCTTGTGAAGGGAGCTTGTGGAATTGGCTTAGGATTTTCATGCCAAGACCTTCTTACAAGGGTTGAAGCTGCTGGGAATGCTAACATGGACAAGGAAACCTACAAGATGCAGGAGGGAGAATTCTTGGGAAGAATAGTGAGGACGCTATCTCTGATATTATGTCAGCTCAATCATGCTTCATCTAATATTCTTGAAAGTCTTTTCATGTATTTTCCAGCAAGTACAGATAATATGGACAAAAATATTTTTGGATTCTCTCCTGAGAATTTTAATGACCTGGAGGATGACATATGGGGTGTTGCTGGGCTTGTCATTGGTTTAGCGAGCTCAGTTGGGGCAATATATAGAGCTGGGATGCATGATGCTGTACTCAAGATAAAAGACTTGATCATTTCCTGGATTCCACATGCAGATTCCTCAACTC